CATGTCTTATTTCTTAGTGTTACCTGTATTTCTGATGTAGTAAGGCCACTTTTTGGGTTGCTTCTTCCAATACTTTTTCATCTTGTAACCATCCCTGAAGAAAACACACAGAAATATAGAAGAAGTCACCCAAATTTCTTAGGAGATATCATTGCTACTGTTTCTGACTCTTGTCACTGTCAGTCAAAATTATGACCATTACTAATTTGTGGGAGCTTTGCTTACATATGTAATCATGCTCTTTCTAAGGAATTAAGTGGCTTCTGCTCCAGAGCCAAAAACTTTGCCTTCTCAGTTCATCCCAGAGAAAGTTTCAGCTGAGTTATTTCAGGCTGGTGACAACAGGCAGCCAGTTCTGAGCCCAGCAAAATAACAATATCAGGTACATTCTCTGGCTGGCTGTGCAGACACTCAGAAAAAGAGCACACCACCCCCTTTAGTTGTTCCAATACAGCTTTTGTGTCACTTCCATCAGTGACTTAAACGTGGAAGGCAGTGTCTTCTTGTCATCTACTTTTTAAATTGCTGATGAGAAGTCAAATTCATTTCAACATAACTTCGTGAGGTTTCAAGCCTTCGGTTAAAAGCAAAACCTCTGCATGGTTCCTCAGCAGCTGAAAATGAATCCCTCTCTTGGACTCACATCCAAATACAAAACCAATTTCTCTGGGCACATCACAGTGACTACAGACCCTTCACTGTCTATGGGTTGACAAGGACCAAGAAGACTACAACAGGGAAAGTATTCACACTTGAGATGTTTACAAAAGGGAACTGGGTTTTTTTAAATGCCATTCCTGACTAATAAGACTATCATTTGAATTTCATTTCAGGGATTATTAGGGTATGGGAATCAACAGTTTATAAAAAGGCCCATGTTAAACGAAGTCTTACCACAGGAAACAAAGCAAATTTCTGAAGAAAGTCCTGGGATTCATACTGATCGAAGTCACCAAAATCAGCTATACAAAATGACAAATATTCACATATTAATTATATTTAATTTGTATTGCAAAACATGTATAAAAATTCAATATACAGTATACAGATGGTGTGCTTATGATAAGTCAAACTTGTCTTACAGTTACAAAAAGTGTATTTTAAAGTATCTTTTTAAAAATGTTAATTAGGTAGACTCATGTGTCTTGACTTGGAAAAAAGCCTACGAATGAAGTCAAAAACAAGTTATAAACTACATATTAATATGCTCTCATTTTTATAGTTTAAAAACAAACAAAACCTAGTCTACAATCATGTATGCTTGCTATGTACAGAAAAATGTCAGGAAGAAACCAAACTGTTGACACTAGTGATTAACTCTGGGGAATGGAATTAGATCATCTGAATATGTTACAACAAGATGCATTTGTTCTGAAATTTTTAATTGTTAAAAAAAAATTGATAGGTCAGCAAAATGCTTATGAAAAAGTAACTCTTAAAGCCAAATACTTAAGAAAATTCAAAGTACCTTGAAAAGGATTGTGCCTTCAATGTATACCAGGCATTTGTTTGTCTAGAAATAACATGCATGTCTCCATGCCTGCTAATATTGGAAGGAATTTTATTAATGATTCTTCTAATTAAATGTCAATTCCCAAGGTTAAATGCCAGTTATCATTTGAAATAATGCCTCATCAGAAATTTTCCCAAAGTATATACATACATGTAAATATATGTAGATTCAGCATGGAAAAATGAAAAAATTAAACAAATTCAAAAATGTTTGTGAGATGCAAAATTTTCATCTGTTATGACTAACAATACTCTATAATCCAGGACAACTAAAAAACCAAACAAATGAAGTGTACTTAAGTATAAGTGAATATAACCTCATCAACCTCACTGACTGGCAGATCTTTCTTCCTGAAATATCAGCTATTAGTAGATCGAGTCTTCGAACTAGATGACTACATAGCATATTAAATGCTTTAAATATACATATACACACAGTCATGGATCACTTAACAATGGGGATACGTTCTGAGAAATGTGTTAGGTGATTTCATCATTGTATGATCATAGACTTTATTTACACAAACCCAGTGTAAATACACTGCACACTTAGACTATATAAATTTTTGCTCCTAGGCTACAAACCTATACAGCATGTTACTGTACTGAACATTGTAGGCAACTATAACACAATAGTAAGTATGTGTATATCTAAACATAAAAAGGTACAGTAAAATACAGTATTAGGCTGTGCTTATTGCTGATAATAAATTTTAAAAAGCAAAAACTATGGTATTATAATTCTACAGGATCCACACAGCATGTGCAGTTTGACCAGGATGCCATGAGGTGGCATGTGACTGTGTGCATACACACACACACATAAATACATATTTCTGTTTATTAGACTGTTTGCTCTATGGAAATATAACATGGTTAACCTTCTAGAAGTCTCTTTTCATTGAGGTAATCCAAAATCATTTTTTCCCAAAAAGAAGCCCCTTAGATAACAGCAATGTATCATTAATATAAAAACACTACTGAAGATGTATATAGAAAGTCAATTACTTTAAGAATCCCTTGCTGTCTTTGTTATAAAACACATTTTAATCTGATAGAACTATTACATTATGGATTGCCCTTATTTACCTTGAACAGCTAAGCCTGCTAGCTGAATTGCTTGTTCTAATGTACAAGGAATGTTTCCTTCCAAGATATCTTTCTTCAGCTGCAGATAATACTGATACCTATAAAAAAAAAGTCAATTTTGCAAAGTCAATATCAATATTATCTCCAACTGAGACACAATGCATTTTACCATCACTTGGTAGAGAAGCATAAACCAGTCAAATAAAACCTTAACCCCAGATGGTTTGGAAGAATGACAAGAATGTCCTTGACCATATCTACATCCCCCCCCCCGCCACACACACACGCATTAATCAATTTAGTGAGCCACTTATCCCTAACTATAGTTATTTCAAAACCAAAACCATCCATAAGACAGCTGATCATCTGTCTCATGCTCTGTATCAACTTATCAATATAAAATGTTTTACACAAAAACTCCACTATATAATTACATAATAAATTAGGTCATCCCATTTTGCATGATAGACATTCCAAATAATGTGAAAAGGTAGCCTTTTTCTTCACCTGTTTTTCTTAGACTAGTAATAGAAGGCATATATGGGTGCTGGCATTTTTAAAGTATTATTTTGGAAAATCTGAAACAGATGTACAGAGAATAAGTACAATGACCCCATATCCTCATTATGCTGCCTCCAGCAACCTTATTGCCTACCATGCTTCATCCTTCCCTCTCACCAGCCCAAGTTTTACAGCAAATCCCAGATACCTTATCTTCTCACCTGTAAATACTTTAGTATATATCCGTAAAAAGTAAGCTTTATTTTTGTTTAAGACATAACTATATTGTAACACACCCAACAAAATGAATATATTCACACTACTCAATACCCAGTTCACGTACAATTTTCATGATTGTCTCAAAAATGCATTTTTACAGTTTTTTTCCTAGAAAGATCAGGATCCAAGGGTCCAAGGAAAGTCTACAGGTGACATTTGATGGGTATTTGTAAATCTCTCTTGCTATAAAAAAGTTTCCTCCTCTTTATTTTCATGTTATTTATCTTTTGACAAAATGAAGCCACTTGTCATGTAGAATTTCCCACTTTCTGGATTTGTCTGATTATACTCTCGTGGGGTCATCTGACATGTTTATGTATTTTCCAATTTTTCCTGTGAACTAATCATTAGATCTAGAACAGTGTTGTCTACTAGAACTTTCTGCAATGATAGAAATGATCTATTTCTATGCTGTCCAACATGGTAGTTATATGTGGCTACTAAGTATTTTCAATGTGGCTAGTGTAACTGGGAAAATAAATTTTTAGCTGTATTAATTTTCATTAATTTAAATTTAACTATAAACAGCTACATGTAACTAATGACTACCATATTGAACAGTATGCACTTGGAGACTTGCTTAGATACAAGTTTAATTTCTTCAAGAATAATGAATGCATCAGTGGTGCTGGCTCTATCCTGATGTATCGCATCAGAAGTAACAATATTTGTTTGCCCACTGAGTTCAGATGTACCTTTTACCCAAAGGTTTGAGTAGTTATGATTGTTATCTAGACACATTATTCCATTAGGAATTCAAAATGGTGATTTTCTATTCTACAATTTCTCCTGCATTTATTTGGTGTGATTCTTCTGTAAAGAACTTTTCCTTGGCCGGGCGCAGTGGCTCACGCCTGTAATCCTAGCACTCTGGGAGGCCGAGGCAGGAGGATTGCTTGAGCTCAGGAGTTCGGGACCAGCCTGAGCAAGAGCGAGACCCTGTCTCTACTATAAACAGAAAGAAATTAGCCAAACAACTAAAAACAGAAAAAATTAGCTGGGCACGGTGATGCGTGCCTGTAGTCCCAGCTACCCGGGAGGCTGAGGCAGGAGGATCGCTTGAGCCCAGGAGTTTGAGGTTGCTGTGAGCTGGGCTGACGCCATAGCACTCTAGCCCGGGCAACAGAGTGAGACTCTGTCTCAAACAAAAAAAAAAAAAGAACTTTTCCTCAACGAATATTTGATTATCCCTTTAAACAGTTATAATGAAAAGATAGGATAAATTTATTGCCATTCATAATAACAAATTGGTACTCTAGCAAATTTCAAATGTGACCAATGAGGTGGTTTTTTAAGTATTAGGAATTCATGAATTTTAAAAAATATACTTGATATGTTTTATTCTATGCAGTCATTATTCTTTATGATGCTCAAAATTTCTTCTCTTTTGCAAGTAAAAACTGCAGACACCAGAATATTTGCTTTCTCTGCCATGTGAGGACCCAGCAAGGTCTCCAAGCCAGAAAGAGCCTTCACTAGAACCCAATGAATGCTCAGACCTTCAAACTGTGAGAAAATATACCAGTTGGTTAAGCCACCAAGTCTATGATATCTTGTTATAGCAGCCCAAGCTAAGACATATTCAAAGGTCATTTTTGCTGGATATATAATCATTGCCTCATATTTCCTTTCCTTGAGGATGTTAAAGGTTACTTTTTTGTCTGTTAGCATGAACTGTTCTTCTCAAAGTCTGATACCAACCTTATTTTCTTAATTTCACCAGTAACTTAGCGTTTTGGTCTAGATGCCCAATTTCCAGTGATTTTGCAGAACATGTTTTGGTATTGATTGCTCTGGGTTTACCATCCCAGATACACAATATGCCTTTTCAATATAGAGCATCAAGTCATCTTTTTTCAAGAAAGTTTTTAGAATGTTGTATAGTTAGAATGTAGAATTTGTTAAATAGTTTTTAGAATGTGTTCATTGCCAATGTTTTGGCTTTCTCCATTGGGGAATCCTATTACACATATTTTTGATTTTTGATCTCGTCTTCTATATTTATACTATACTTTTATCATTTCTATCACTTTAAAATTTATCTCTAATGCTTTTCTCAACTCTTTATTTTCATGTTCACCCATTGCATAGCCAAATTATTCCAAAGCTTTTCTAATTCATATTTAAATGGTTCTTTCATATCATGTTATTTTCTTAATTTGCTTTAGTTCATTTTATAATATTGGCTGGCAGGTTTTTGCTGTTTTGTGGCCACATTTTTCTGACAAATCTTCACTTTCTGAAGATATATTATTCAGATTGTTATTTTCTTAAAATATGTTTGAATGGTTTTATAATACCATTTTTTAGGTATAACTGAGATACAATAAACTGCTCTAATTTAAAGTATATAATCTTGACACATGAATATATCCACGAAACCATCACCACAAGATAAGGAACATACTGATCACATGTAAAAGTTTCCTTGTATCCTCATACCCTTCTCTCCTACTTCTCCCTTCCTGGGAGACCGCTAATCTGCTTTGGGACTCTACGGATGTGATAGCTAGAACATCTCTAGATATCCTGGACTATAAGGTAACCTAATGAATTGAAGATGGGGATGATGGAACAGTAAGAGAAAGAACAAGGGTCCTTGAAGACTTTGTGGAGCTGTTACACAAGCTCTGCGTGGCTGACCTCTGGACTTCTCTTCTGTAAGCCAATGATACTTAGAGTTTTATTGTTATATATAGCCATACTTAATCCTTACTGATACAACCTGTCACGTTCTTCTACACCTAATCAGTGAGCAATCCTGTGATTGAATCTAGTAAGCCTGTTCTCTCTCAACCTGGCTAACGTCTTTGTTCGAGTCTACATTCTGGACTGATGCCTAGATTATGGCATAGACATTCCTAACCGGCCTCCTGCCTGTAGTCTTGCCACCTCTGAGAGCTTCTCATGATAGGTGTTCTTCATAAAATGCAAATTTGATCATTCCATTCCACTAAAATTCAAAAATGTCTTCCTCATTGTCCTGTGACTTTATTACTAATGCCTATTTTTTAAACTTCCTCTCCCCTCTCTAGGTAATATCTGAAGCTCCCTGAAAACACATAGTCATTTTCTTTAATACCCCTGCTTTGCACAAGCTATTTCCTCCAGAAAAATTCCTTCTAAAGTCAATCAAAAAAATCAGCTTTTTGTAGGCCAGGCATGGTAGCTCATGCCTGTAATCTTAGCACTCTGGGAGGCCAAGACGGAAGGATCACTTGAGGTCAGTAGTTCGAGACCAGCCTGAGCAAGAGCAAGACCCCATCTCTGCTAAAAATAGAAAAAATTAGCCAGGCTTGGTGGTGCTCGCCTATAGTCCCAGCTACTCAGGAGGTTGAGGCAGGAGGATCACTTGAGCCCAGGAGTTTGAGGTTGCAGTAAGCTGGGCTGACGCCATGGCACTCTAGCCCAGGGCAACAAAGTGAGACTCTGTCTCAAAAAAAAAAAAAAATCAGCTTCTTTACCTTCCCTGTTCAAGTTACCCTTGTACCACCCCTAGGAATCCAGACCTTTATTAATAATAAAAGCATTTACTATCATAGGATACTATAATTATTTATTTATATGAACTGCCAGTTCCACCAGACTATGAGCAACTCCTCCTGGGTAAGATTAAAACGTATTCACTTGTGTATTCACCTCCCACTGTGGCCAACATAGTTCTTAGATCAATATCATGTCTTCACTAAACGTTTAAATGAGTTGAGGTGATTAGTTCAGGTTTTTTCCTTCTGGCTTCCCCTTCTCTCTTCCATGTTTATACTTCAGACTTACTTCAGTCAGTTTGTGCTTATCTCTACCACCTGATCCTTGCTGCTTTGGTTTTCCATCCTCTTCTAATAAGTAACCAGCAGGCTCAAACAGCATTCCACAAACATGGGGCAGTACCAGGTTCTTACTCTCTGCAGGGCATTATGTTAGACAGCATGAGAAAACTAAAGCTAAAGAAAACATGGATTTAAAATCCAGGGGAAAGATAAGAGATGTACACAACCATAGTGAGAGGCTATGACAAAGGCCATCTTAACACAAGTACAAGCAAATTCTAGGACAGTTTGGAGAAGGTAAACCTCATTCCAGCCTGGAAGTCACAGATGCTTCATGGAAAAGGTACCTCTGAACTACAACTCAGAAGATGAACAGGATTCCAGTACATAAACACAAGGGAAAGAACTAGGACACAAAGACAAAAAGGCACGTAGCACATCCAGGGCCTGGAAGTAGTCCAGCTTGGCTCAAAAGTAACATTAAATAGGGTTAAAAAGATAAGGTAATGACAGATTTCGGAGAACTTTGAAAGGCAGGCTTAAGAATTCAAATTTTATTCCATTGTTTTTTGTTTTGTCTTGGGGAGTCGGGGTTGGGGAGAGAACATTTAGTTCCTCTATCCTGCTCCTTAGTATCATCTTCCCTTTCTGCTTTTTATCCCTGTTAAGGGTGCTTACTAGCCAAAATTTTTTGATCTTAAACACTTCCTCTCTCTCCTTCTGTGCTTTCCCTCCCCTACAAATTTCCTCTCCCACCTGTCCACAGATTACAGCTACCAGAGTCAGAGAAATCTAAGAACCTTTTGGCACATTTCCTTGAGGAATGACCACATTTTATGACTTTAATTCTTACTCTCTTCTCTCATTTCCTTGTTACAAAGGATCAGAAACAAAACAATAAAACACGGCAGGTGACATCACTACAAGAAGAGTTCACAGCCAGAGTAAAAACATCGTTTTTCCTTTTAATGATTCCTTTGTGCCTAATGAACCCATAACTCATCCGACATGCAATAAAACACTCTGACGTGCCACATACCAGAACCTCCTTGTAATAAGGCAGTAAAAATGTGGGGCGGGAGGGCAGAGTTTCAGACTTTCACCTCTTGACTTTGACCTTTCACTTTTTTAATCTCACTAGATTATTTCCTAAAAACAAACAGCATATAATTTCTCACCTGGTAATCTCCTGCTGCAGCTGTGACACCGAAGGCACATAAAATACCACTCCAAAATAAACGGTAGGTTCCAATGCATATTTGTCCAGCTGCTTCTTCAGAGGTTTTTCCAAATCTACCCACCGGCGCTGATTTTGCTTGTTGTGGTACCAGAGGCTGAAGTAAGTGACCTGGAAAGACAGAGGGTCACTGAAGATGACAGTAATGGACAAAAGGATTTCGATGACTTCCACTGCACTGATCCGTGACCTGGCACCCAGTGACGGCAGTCTTCTATTGCCTCTCTTTTCAGAAAGGAACAGCAGCAAGAACTGAAGGAAAAAAAGAGGCAAGAGCTATCTTTATCTAGATATTCATATATGGGAAATAGAGGCAAAAAGTCAGTGACACTTGCATATCATTTCTTGAACTCTGCACAAAAAAAAAAGCATTCCAAGGCCTGGACATCAAAATGTAGTGGGTGCTACTGAATTTTACATACAAGTTTTAACAAAAACAAAAAAATACTGAAAAATATTACACTTACTTTTTTAGTTACTGATACTAAAACATTAAATCAATCATAATCAATATTTTAAAAGAAGTGTAACTGGAGTCCTACCCAGTTGAATTCTGACTAAATACTGTGAAATCAACTTTTTACTAGAGACAAGGGTATCGCTCCGTTACCCAACCTGGAGTACAGTGGTGCTATCATAGCTCACTGCAACCTCGAACTCCTGGGCTCAGGCGATCCTCCTGCCTCAGTCTCCTGACTAGCTAGGACTACAAGCACACACCGTACCTGGCTATTTTTTTTTTTTTATTTTTTGTATAGGCAGGGTCTGGCTGTTTTGCCCAGGCTGGCCTAAACTCCTGGCCTCAAACGATCCTCCTGCCTCAGCTTCCCAAAGTGCTAGGATTACAAGTATGAGCCACCACACCCGGCTAATTTGGACTTCTATAAATAAATAATTTCATGTAAATATTATAAATTTCTAGTACAAATACAACTGTAACTCTTCTTTGCCCCTCTGCCCCCCAAATTTCATTAGACACAAATTTAAAGGAACTGTAAAGCCGTGGAGATGAATTCATTCTCTCTCCCCCCACACCCAGACATACACACACACACACAAACATAAAAGCTCTGACTAATGCAGTAAGATAACATAAGTGTATTGCTCAGAGCTTTAAAAAAAAAAAAAAAACCCAGTTATTAGCATTTAGATCTCACTTGCTGTGTAATGAAACTTTTAAGGTAAATCAACACTAGCCCTGGGCCTGGTCAACCTGAAAGGGTATTAATGCACTTAGGAGTTGAAATGACAGCCTCAGGCCACTGCTAATACTTACTTCAAAATCAATTTACAGATCCATACAATTGGAAAATCACTGCTTTGTAGCTTTGGATTTTAAAGCAACACTGTCCAATAGAACTTTGTGAAATGATGGAAATGATCTATGTCTGCACTGTCCAATAAAGCAGTCGCTAGCCCCATGTGGCTACTGAGCACCTGAAATGTGTCTAGTGCCACTGAGGAACTGTCTTTTTTATGTTATTCAGTTTTAATTGACTTAAAGAGCTGTAAGCATCTAGTGGCTTTGTATTAGATAATATAGCTTTAGAGCAAAAATAAAACTGAGAAATAATACTCTCGCCATTTGTTTGACCAGTAATCCTCACTCATATAAAAAATAAAATTTTAATTTGCAAGGGAAAAGATTGTACAAACATACCTGCAGTATTAATTTTATCTTATAACTTTTTTACATGGGAAGAACTATACCATTACAAGAAGTCTATCAAATAAATTCAGCAAGAGTGAGGAATGTGTGTCCAATCTCCCTTTATATCCACAAACTCCTAGAATACTGTGGAGTTCAGTAAATTTTTTTTAACAAAAAGAATGAATATTCTCTTGTTTCTTAGTTGCCTCTCAAGTCATCATGTATGAATGGAATATTTTGAACATTTACTATGTACCAAGCTCTATTCCAAGAACTGTAGAAAGATCAAAGATTAAATCACTGCCATTAACTTACTAAGTAAGTATTTTTATTTGTGTTAAATCCCAAAGCCAGTGTTTCTCCAAGTATTATCCCTGGACCATCTCTACCAGAATTCCTACAGAGATTCATGGGCCCTAAAGAACTATTAAACTCCTAGGTAATTCGTGTGTCCATTACAGTTTGAAGACGATTGTACTATACCACACTGCCCCTCCAAAGTGATACAGGAGAAAGCTATATAAACAATCTATCATAGAAACATTGTTATGAGAACAAAAACAAACAAAAATCTATCCTTGAAAAAAATAAAACAAAAATCTATCCTTGAAAAGCTACATGGAAATCAAATTTTTGAAAATCCAAACACCCTTTAATATAAATATATCTGAAAATCCAAGTCCTATTGTTAATTATGTTCTGAAGTCATCGTTATGTTTATAAAATCAATTGCATGTTATCTGTAAGGACAGAATATGTATCGCATTTATGGAAAACAACTACTGTTCCTTCCTCCTTTTAAACTGCAACTTATAGAAAAGAAAAATCTGGTTTAATAGAAAGAGCTTGTAAACTTCTAGACAGAGCAATTAGGCAAATTACTTACTAGCCATGAACTGGAAAAGTCAATCAGTCCAATTTGGTTTTCCCAGTGTAAAATAAGGTAATACCTCCCTCACAACTCCATCATGAGGACTAAATGAGGGAAAACAATGTGAATGCATTTTAATACTAATTTTTAAAAGATTACTTAATTTCAGCCATTTTGCCAAACATCGACAAAATCAATTATTGATTCCTACCCCCCAAAAAACTATTCTAATTAACTACATTTATTTGGATTGATTGCAACACAATACATTTCTGTTACTTGTATGTTTGTTTTGTATTCCATCTTAGAACACAAGCTTCAGACTGAATGTACCATATTTGGTCTACTAGCATACTATGCATTTAATTCCACAAACATTTACTTTTTGCCAGGGTAGTTGTCCTTTAGAATCTAAAACTGTTTTGGTCCTAATAATACATCGTCACTTTTAACAAAAAAGAAAAGGTCTTAAAAATACCCTTTGTATATATTACTTTTCCCTTTAAATCACACTTCATTTTAAAACTTACTACAAAGCTACAGTAATCCAAACAGTGTGGTGCCAGCATAAGGAGAGACACAGAGACTAACAGAACAGAGCTGAGAGTCCAGAAACGAACCTATGCATCTACAGTCAACTGATTTTCAACAAGGGTGCCAAGACCATTCAATAGGGAAAGAATAGTCTCTTTAACAAATGGCGCTGAGATCCATATCCAAAAGAATGAAGTTGGATCCCTGTCTAACATCTTATACAAAAATTAATACACATTAGATTAACAACCTAATTATAAGAACTGAACCATAAACCTCTTTATAAGAAAACATTGGGGTAAATTTTCATGACCTTGAATTTGAGAATGGATTCTCAGATATGACACTAAAAGTATGAGCAAAAAAAAAAATAGATAAGTTTACTTCAACAAAATTAAAAAACTTTGCACAAAGAACCATATCAAGAAAGTAAAAAGACAACCTACATAATAGGAGAAAATGTTCACAAATCATGTATCTAATAAAGGATTTTATTTGGAATACATAAAGTATTTGGAATACATAAGGAACTCTTACAAAACAGAAAGACACAATTTTATTTTAAAATGAGCAAAGGATTTAAATAGACATTTCTCCAAAGAAGATATACAAATGGCCAATAAGCATATGAAAAGATGCTCAACATCATTAGTCATTAGGGAAATGCAATTCAGAACCACAATGAGATACCGCTTCACACCAGCTATGCTATAATTTAAACAATAGAAAATAAGTGTTGGTGAGGAGAAATTGGAACCCTCATATGTTGCTGGTGGGAATGCAAAATGGTTCGGCTTCTGTGGAAAAGTTCGGTAGGTCCTTAAAAAGTAAACATAGAATCACCATGTGACCCGGCAATTCCACTCTCAGACACATACCCAATAGAATTGGAAACAGGTGTTCAAGCAAATACATGTACATGCATGTTCACAGGACTATTTGCAATAGCCAAAAGGTGAAAACAATCCAAATGTCCCTCACTAGATGAATGGATAAACAAGTTTGTGTTTTATACATACAATGGAATATTTAGCCCTAAAAAGGAATAAAGTTCTAACACATGCTACAATGTGGATGAACCTCAAAAACGTGATGCTAAGAAAAAGCCAGACGCAAAGGTCATATATCATATAATTCCATTTACATGAAATATCCCGAACAGATAAATCCACAGAGACAGAAAGAAAGCAAACTGGTGGTTGCTAGGGGCAGGGAGGAATGGAGAGTGACTGCTTAATGGGTACAGAGTTTCCTTTGGGGGTGATGAAAATGTCCTGGAACTAGACAGAGATGGTATTGTGAATGTACTAAATGCCACTGAATTGTTGACTTTAAAATGGTTACTTTTATGTTATGTGAATCTCATCTCAATAAAAAAATTTTGTTAAAGATCAGAAATATTCATAATTAAAATCGAGTACAGAATTGTAAAACTTTATTTTCAAACATTTAAATACATCAAATTCAGGTCATTAAGAAAATCTAAGAAAAAAAAATAAGCCAGAAATAGATGAGACAGTCTTGAGTTAATAACATTTTCTATTTTCTAATATCTATACTTAGAGTCAAGATTTTGTATAGTTTGGCAATTATCTGGCAATCTCAACTATCTGAACATAATTGAAGAACAGAGAATAGGGAAAAATGTGTTTGAGCAATGAAAAGTACATGTCAGTGTCAAAGTTATAAAGGATATGCCCTTGATGAAGAGATTTCTCCTCTTATATGGAAATTTTTTCCTTATTTTATACATAATGAGTTCAGTGACTTGGTTCAGTCCAAAGCAGATTAAAAGATGACAAATTAAAGGAAAAGGGATTGTTAAATAATAGCAAGTTGACAGCAGAAGGAAATTATGGGTAATATTCTTTTAGCAAGGGAGAATACATACATGCAAACAAAAACCCTTTAAGAAGAAATTATAAAGAATGGCAAATGCACAGTAGTCTGGAGTTATTTACTGAAGAACATTTGTTCTAAATATTAGTCATGTATTTAACAATAATCACTGTTCCTACTCCTTTGTTTAAGACAAGTGGAAAAGCATATAAATCT